CTTCCTTTTCAACCCCCTACCACTTCGCCACGCGTGGAATTTATATTTGGTACGCTCATTGATAAAAAAAAGTAGAAGACATAAAATAAAGCAAAAACCTGTACAAATTAAAGCCTTCGTGGCAAAGTAGAAAAACCCTAATCAAAGAAAGAAAAAAATCCAATAAAAGAAAGAGCAGAAAACTAGAAGGGATGATGTAGATGCTTGAGTCGAAAGATTGCGCGACATCTCGCTCGGTTGGCGAGTGGCATTTTCAGCGGTGGTGGAAGCGCCGGGCTACAACGGTCACTAATGCACTGTTTCAATTAATTACGGGCGACGCTTTCGGTTTTCACTAAAGCCAAGCATCCGCACAAGAGAGGGAAAAATCCGTAGAGTAGAGTTCATTCATTTAAAACTAACTATTATTTCATGAAGTTAATTATTGTTACTCAAACATTTTTTTTATATATCAGTTTGTAAATATGACCAATTGCTTTGTTAAGTAGCAAAGAATGCTCACAATCTTACATAATGCATAATTAATTGCAATTAGCAGAAAGCGAACGAATTCAAACTCAATGAATACTCAAAAGAAACGCAAAGCTTGAGTCTGACAAGTGGAAACAATAAACCTATTCATGATCGCCGCCGCACTTCGAATATGAATTGCCGTAATCAGCGAACGGAAGCCGAGCGCAAGCAACAATGTGAGACACAAAAGGCACGAATAAATATAAGTAGATAGCGGGCCACAACAAATATAAATATACTGCAGGACGGGGCGGAATTAATGAACGAGCACTAATTGTAAGAACACAAAAACAGAAATCCTGGCGAAAATGCCAAAGCAAGAAAGTAGCAAAGTGATGCGCACAATTTCTAAGCAAAAGGAAACTTTGTAAGGATTATTCTAATAGCATTATCAAATTAAACGTAAAATAATACTTTTTTCATTTGTAGATAAAATAATTACAATCCAAATGTAATAATTCAATTATACTCACAAATACAATAAAATACTAATAAACAAATTTGTTTTAATAAATTGACATTCACAGAATTCAGTTTATTCTATTGACCACAACTCACTTCACATAATTGTCTGTCCACCAAACAAATTTATATTGCGCTGTTTTTGAGTGGTTTATTTCGTTATTTTGTAAATATGTCATCGATGTGAGTAAATTTATTATCCAAATTGATCATTATGCACTCTATTTTAATTGAATAAATTATAATTTGATTTATATCAGCGTAATTGTCCAAATTGTGTGTTTGAAATTCAAACAAAAGAAACTATAATGAAATTAAAATATCTAGTGGAGGCGCCGGGCGACTGTATTGAAATAATGTGTAGTATTAATATATTTAGTAAATACGTCATCGCTCAAAGTCAATTCGTTAATAGAATTTAATATTATGTCCACTAATATAATCCGATATAGTTAAAGCTTGTTTATTCTATCGATTTCATCGTAATTAAACGTGGATTGTGTTTCGAATGGAAACGCAACAAGAATGTATAAAGTTTCGAAATGTTTGTGAATTTCTGCGAGTAGTTCTGCGTGCATGGTAGAGCTCGGAGAGTTTTGATACTGCACATTCAATCAAATTAAACTGGACGAAAATTCGTAGGAAAAGTTGACACAAAGCAAAAACTCCCAACTTTATATTTAATTTGCGAAATTGAAATTTATTTAAAAAGCAGGTCAATACTTTTAATTTTAATTGTATCTCACCGCGCATCTGCTCTAAAAGTCTCAAACTTTTAAGTGCTACTGTCCGCCTTCCTTCACACCAGAGACACATGATGGCCGAAAACTATCCCTAAAAGTAGCAAAACCTCCGAGAGAAACTAAAACTTGTAATGTCCTATGTGCTAGCGTTACCTGTGATACTACTAGTAGTAAAGCTTTAAAATGTACGCAAGGATAGTGGTTGGTTGTGCATTAAGAAGCGTACGCGCTGCGAAGCGTATGAGATATACGACTACACGAATATAGCTACTACGCGGCTGTAAACCGCGTTGAAATAAACCGAGAGAAGTCGGTAGTAGTAGTGGAGAGCTTGTTGGAAGGACGTCGTGCCCACGTGGACAGCGGCGTCACGCTTCACACTCTCGTGCGTTTGGACGCCTTTGGACGCATATACGAGTATGTGCTTCGTTTACGAGTTTGCCCATTTTCCTATTACGCTGATGTATTTTACGTGGCCGAAGATAAAGCTTCGATTTTATAAACTTCCAAAGTAACGTAACAACTATAAAATTTTAAAATAAATATAAATTCAGTTGAAAATTTAACCAAAACAAAATTATTTTTCATTTTTGCATAGTATGTTGTTAAATAGGTAATATGAAACTTTTAAAAATTTATTTCCACTCGGCTGTGTTTTGTGAATAAATATATTTTATTTTGTATTTAAAATTATAAAAACACACGACTTGAATTATTTTTAAGCCCGCTTCGCGTGAATTCCGACAAATAGATTCACAGATGTACGTAAAAAATGGATTAAACTGCAAATTGCATCATCTAGTATTAATTGGTTTTTCGGCCAAATTGAAACAATTTCGTGAATAGCAACCACGCGCATGCTTTTAATTAATCATCTCACGATGCGTCGGAAAATCCGACGTTCCATTCGGTGGGCCATGGCCAAAGCAAGCAAAATTGCCAATAGAGGAATTCTACCCGCAAACAGTGATTATCCGAATTTAATTGGATTAAATTACTAATTATGCTATTTGTAACAAACTATCAAACCGCATGACCGCAGGGTATTCCACAAAATTCGAATAAACAAACACATACATACAATATTAATTTTTTAGCAACACTAAATATTTTCTCCTCTGTCAAGTTTCACGGAATGACTGGCAGCACTCGAGATGAGAAGGAGATCGGTCCGTCTCTCTCTCGTTATAACGAGAGGGGTATACCTGCGATCGGCCTCGAGAGGCCTCGTGACACAGTTTCTGAACATGTCACCCGACTAAAACGATTTTAAAGACGTTATCACGTCAAAATGCAGCAAAATATAATGGATTGTTTTCAACTCATACTATGTAATATTCTAACCTAAAAATATACGTTTGTTGAGTATGAAGCTAAATTAATTATTCTCACGAGTTTGCTCGGTCGCATACTCCCTCCGCGCGGCATCAGCAACAATTTCACGCGTAACATTTTATTAACAGTGATGTAATGGCAACGTTAATTTAATCAAATCGTTAGCACGTGCGTGCATGCAGCTATGCAACCGCGCCCGCAAACGCGGTCCTTGCAACATTGACAAACAAGCAACATGGATGCAACATATTGCACTAGCTGATGCATTAAATTATTTGCGACCAACATATTTAATATAACTGTTTATAATTAAACAATTTAATTATCTAATTTTTCACACGTTCGTAGCATTATCTGTGACCAAAAATATAATTTAATGTACTTAATAAATAATTTAAATCTAGCGAAACTGAGACTATCAATCAAAGTGGATGTATTTCAATAATCAAAAGCTGTATGAAAGAAAATTTCCCTTTGTTCATAATTAAACTCGTCTTTTACGGAAATAAACCTTCGGATATATAATTATTATTATTAATACTTCAATGTGAATGTACACGAAACATATGTTCTACGATTAGAGTAAATTGATATAAACATCAAAGAGAAAAATAAACAAAATTATTGACAACGAAGCACATTTTCCAAATGAATAAAACATAAAATATGTAGCTTGCAGATACAAACAAAAACTAAAAAGCTACAATTTATACCTTGTCACATAATGTTTACTTTGCTCGTTCGGCATGAGGTGCGCGTATGCTTTATCTCTAATAAAAGATTTTTCGCTTGCTAGACAAAAATCTCGAAAGGAGCACGCGTCCTAAAGTTGATAGCTTGAAGGCGTCGGCCACTGGTCACACCATTGCGGCAAGTCTGTGTTTGTGAAGTTTTGCGCGAAGCACAAGAACAAACAATACTGTGCTTTGAAGACGAGCGAAGATAACGTTTTTCCGCTTTTTCTTTTCATTTTGCTTTTGTGTACGTTTTTCTCGTTTGTTTTAGAATTGAGACGGACACAGAGATTTTGGGCACCGATTCTCGAAGGAAATATACCTGTCCAAGCAGGTTTTATACTGAATGTTAAAGAAATCAACAAATATAGAACACTTTTACTAGTTTTTCACTTAGAAATCATTAACATTTTAAAATAGAGAAGAAAATCATTTCTGATTTAATAAAAGTGATTATAGAATATTCTTTAATACAAAACTTTTGTTTCAAAGGATGCAAGGTGAGTACCTAGTCGTATCCTTGAATGCTTTTTACTTTCGGCCCAGACTGGACACGATAAAGGACGACCGGACTCGATTTATCTGGAAAAGTGCTGAACGAACAACTGCACTCTTCGAATCTGTACGCTTTGACTCAATGTAACCCGTCTCCAACTGCGCGTTTTCCTAAAATTTTCAAAGACTTCCACAAAAGCCCAGCTTCCACTCTTAATATTTTATTTTTTGTCGTTTCTTATTTCTTCCCTAGTATTTCTTCTTTTTTGTTTTTTCATAAACAATCATTGTCAGCAGATTGCTCATACTTATGTTCAGGTCTAGTAATACAAGACCTCGAGGAGATTTCATTTCGTCCTGCTCGTGACTTTATGCCGCGCCCTTCTGTTTAGCTTTCTAGCGGATTTTCCACGTCGGGTCGTCATCGAACATCATCCGAACGACGAACGTGCGTCCTTATGTTCTTCACGACTCAGCGCGCCATTGCATCGCCCCCTTGTTTTGTTCGCATGTTATGGTCATTGCGACAGTCATTACGCAGGGCGATATCGCCGCGTCGGATCAAAATTGAACGACAAGGGTTGTGCCAACAATAAAAAAACAACAGCGCACAACAACAACAAAAATCCAAGAAAAGCGCAATAAAAACAATATAAAAAATAAATTGAATCTTATACAAAAAAAAAACGCGGAATAAAATTGTCAAAGCAGTATATACCTTAATAATCCTTTAAATTATGATTCAATCCGTTTGTAAATCCTTTAAATCCAAATATAATCCAGCAATATTATAGCGGATTTACCTGAAACAAACAAAAATTTCATTACTCTTCGATATTTCTGCTTAGTATTGAGGAGCGGGCACCGCGTCCGCATTGCCAATCAAAAGTTAAACAATTGTTGTTCCGACGCCCGGCAAACAAGTAAAACTTATTCCATTATTCCGATGCGGGAAGTACGATTACCTCATCCCTCTTGTTCTTTTTGTTTTCGCTGCGTCCTGCGGTTCTGTTCTGCAAATATTTAAGTTTGCAGCCTGCCCGCTTGCGGATGAACACGACAAACGCGGAAGAATTCATCGCTGGTATTGTGTGAGTTTTATGAGGAGATTGCAGGAGCGAAGCGAAGACGACGGAAGCAATTGGATGAAGTAAAATTTATTTGCAAGAAATTGCGGAAACAATTTTTTAATTGCATTACGCCTACAAGAGAAAACTCATAAATATTGAAGAGAATCTCAGTGAAATAAATAATTAAGTTATTGAATAATCTCCAAGAGGGACAAAGTACCTTCAACAAGAAATGTAATAATAATTTAAATGGAATACAATAAAATACTACGGTAATTCAATATGAAGGATAGTAGATAATTGCTGTTTGCAACGAGAATTGCCATTTCAAAACACGTCCAACCACAAGTTAGCCGCGATGGCGGAGGCGCCGGGCGCGCAGCGCGACTAATTGAATACGCAAATGCGCCAATTGGCGAAATGGCGGCGGCGGCAGCGGTCGCAGGTCCGGCCGATAAACTGCACGAGGCGCATTGTGTCGCGTTGATCTTCGCCGATGCCAAACCGAGAATACAGATTCGCCTCCGGCTGCCAATGGTGGTAATAAATTAGAAAACCGTAAATTGATACCGACCACGTTCACCAGCACGTAGCGAAATGCCAAGTTGTAAATGTTAATCGAGGGCAGCGTCGCGGGCAATTTAGAAACATGTAGATTAATAATATAACCCAATCGATATTAGCCAGAGGTGAAATTTAGTTAATCAAGCAGGTAAACAATCGCATCACTTTGATGCATGAATTGATTTGTAGGCAATAATAATTTCATACATCTAGATATACATAAGCTTAAAAAAGAATAAGAAATATATACTTTCCAAAAATATTAAAGAGAATAATAAAACTCAACATAAGGAAATTTCGTACAATGATCACGTGCGGCACATTTTTTTGACTGAAAAAGTTTCCACTTTATATGAATCTTCTTTTAACGTAAGGCAAGACATTTTTTTGTTTTAAGAGCTAATATTGTCATATTGCGTTATTACGAGTATCAATTCTCTCAAGTCTTCTTTTTTATAAAACACAAAGAGAATTTAATATTAGTAATTTAATCAGAAGATTTTTTTAAATTTAAATTTAGTACAACATGAACAAAAAGGAAAACTCCGAAAAAACATGACAAAATTATCAAACACACTTTTAATATGATAGTAACCAATTTAAGTTAATAAGTTTATTGCTAATTATGAACATTGCGATTGATCTTAAAGATAACGATCAAAGTTGGTCCGCAGAAATTTGGGTATTGCTACATACGCGTAATTAAATCGATCGCAATTCCTCGAAGTAGCTTGAAAGCAGATTGAACAACTTTATTATCTTGGGAACAAAGGCGAATTTATAATGAAGATCGTATTCCATGTTCAAGATTAACTACAAGTACACAATTAACTACAAACTACAAGTTGCGAACAAATTTCACGAGATATCAAATAATGTCACTCACTTTTTTCCAATTTTTATATAAATATAATCAATTATTAAAAACTAAATGAACACGTTATGAATGTTGGCTAAAGTACGTAATCCAGTGAAGTTGTTCGCGCGTGTTATCCAAAGCATCAATTACGATTTATTCTATTATATCGCAGTGAAAACATTTTCGTTCGCCGCCTTCGTCGCCGCCACCGTTCGCTATTACTATGCTCGGACAATTCGTCATTTTTATTAGTTTTATACACGTAACCGAAGGAGTGGATCATTATTCAAGATGATTAATGATCGCGCACTGGCCGGCCACTCAGTGCTACGATGGTGGCGGTGGTGGCGGCGGCGGCAAGCCGGAACGCCCATTCATGATACATCGTTGGAAAATACTCGCGCCTAGAAGAGTGCTCTTTATTTTTAGGCAAATGCTTTTTTTCTTCTTTTTTCGGTTCGACGCGAAAAACAAACAAATATTGAATCTGACGTTTCATTTTTTTTCATAATGCTTCTTATTTTATAGCTTTTGATAACATTACATTTGAACACAAAAATGACTTTATTTGTATTCTTTTATTTTTAACAGGTATGTATAGGTAAAGCCAAAAACGAAAAAAAATGTTGGTATTGTTAGAAAGCTTGAGGGAGAGCGTAATGGAGCTTTCCGTAGATTTATTGGCGGCCGTTTTGCCCGCAAATATCCACGAAATCCACCGAGTCGAGCCGCACGCCGCCTCCGCCGCCGACGCCTCTCGTCATGAAACGGTCATACAAGTCGACGGTGAGCACGAACGCGCGCACGGAAACTGCCAGCACAATGACGTCTATAAATGCGCTCGACGGATGCATATGCCGCCCCCACGGCCTCCGGTCTACGTCCCTAACAATATGTATTTCCATCATCCGCGTCACCGGTGCACCGCGCGTGTACAACTCGAAACATACAGGCAATTTCAAAACATATTCTTTAATCGTTAAATAAACATAAACATTAAACAAAATAATCAGTTTATCACTATACAAATAAATATGCAAACATTGGAAAATATTTATATGGAAATTTTTGTTATGATTTTATTTATTTTTTAATCTTTTAGAGTAGCATGTGAGCAAATAATAGTTTTGAAGAAGTGTACGGACTTTAGTGCATATTCCAACGGACGAAAGGGGCGAATAGAGCAGTAGGAAACCGGATGTTGAAGGCGACGTGCGGCGCATTCGTCATTTTCGGCGGCGGTGCAGAAAATGACGCGATGCTCGCCGCACGAACTGGCACGAAAGCAACGAATTGCACTGCTCGACCGCCACACGTGTGTGCAAAACGATGCAGTCCGCCCGACCCCGCCGCCAACACACTTAAACTAAAGTCAAACATCTTTCTAAAGTCTTAAAATTTACGTTGCAACTTTTTCGCTTTTCATAAAATGCAAATATTCACTTGCGAACTCTAAAAATAACTTAAAACATCATTCTTTATATTCTGTATATTCTGAATTAATCTACCTCCTTATACCATAGAATTTTAATTAGTAATTATCGATTAATTACAAGAATTAATTGACTCGATAACGACGCGTATAATTATTTCGCCGGTGCGGTTAAACGCTCGCATCGATAAAACTTGGTGAACTTTGCCGCTGGCGTGGTGGTATGTCGTTATCGTCATCCCCAAGTTAAACATTTGCTCGTCTAACGCACCTTAAAAAGTTTAATTGCTTCTTCTTTGCATTGCCCGTGACTTCCGCTTCGGCTCGCACTCATTCCGATAGCCTGATAGCACTCATTCATTATAGCCACGAAGAACGTAAAAAGCACGAAAGCTGCGAGGAACTTCAAGGTTACGTAGAAGGATGACTTAGACAAACACTAGATGAGGTTTTCTCGAAAGTGAAAGCTCTTAGGCGACTAGAATGAATAGAAGCTTGCTGGGTTTAATTAAAATGATCAACCAAGCAGCTAACAATCTCACAAATCTAAGATGCCAACAATACAACAACCAGAAAATAGCATTCTATTACAAAGTTGGGAGTACAGCTCAAGATTACGACAACGCGGAAAAGTTTAAAGGCTTAATTGAATAATGTAGTTTATTTAAAGTGAAATGAACTTGACAACTTCGAAAACTTACAAAGCTTTGAAAAATAATATTAAAAGTGAGGTTAGCGAGACTGTGAATACCTAGAAATTTATGATTCAATTTCCGAACAACTTTATTATCAATTTTATGCGATATGACTGATTCGACGTAATGACACACTCAGACTTTACATTAAAGCCTATTTAATCTAGTATTAGCTTAGCGAGCAACTTGTAATGAGCAAGTAAATATGACGGAAATGACAGCTGACCAAAATAGTGCACGTTTAAGTCTTGACGAAATCGAAGCGCTGTTTAACGAAAGTGTTCAAGCACTTTTGAATATAGCCACAAGATGTGACAATTTCTCTCAAAGAAAAAGAATTCCACCAAGTCCACCACCCAGAACACCAAAACCTAATATGGGAATAAATTCAAGTGCACAAAAAGTCATGCCAACAAAAGAAGACGTAGAAGTAATCCAAAACAACGATTTGTACACTAATTTGGGAGCACCAAATGATAATCATAACGAAGCAGTTCCCAAACCACCAAAAATAACCAATAAGTAAGTACTAACTCTTCCTAAATTACTAAATAATAATAATGTTTAATTTTCAAGGTGTGGATATATTATTAATGAATTAATTACGACCGAAGAAGATTACATCTCTAAATTAGAGTATGTGTGTACTAATTACAAGCAGTGGTCGCTTGATAACATCGGCGTGTTCAAAACAAGAAACTTGTTCAAAAATTTTGATGAATTGTTTATGGACAGTGTGGTATTTCTTCAAGATTTGAAATCTCATCAATACACTGGTGATTGTCAAGATATCGCAAAACAATTTATTAAAAACGTATGTTTATCAATATGGAATTTATCATAATTTATTTTACTATGCTTTTGTGTAATTTTTAGAGATCATTATTCCAAAAATACACAACATACTGTCGTAATCAACAGTCTGCGGAAACGGCTTATCAGAACTCCCGAGATAAGATTCTTGTATGTAATTTCTACGAAATTTATTAATTCAAGTACTTCAATTTTTATATTTGTTTAATTCAATGATTACGACCAAAATGCAATCAAAAATAGTACACAGCGCAAGCGCATTGGCGTTATATTTAATTACTTATTAACTTAGAGTGATAACTTTGTGTTTTTTGTTTTATATTTTAAAATATGTGTGAAATATGATGATTTATGAAGTTTGATAATTTTTCAGGAACGCGAAATTGCACTCGATGACAAATTGGGCCTGCACACGGGGCTCCTACGGCCGGTGCAACGACTCGCCAAGTACGAGATGCTCCTAAAGGAGCTGCAACGCGCCCAAGAAGAAGAAAAACCTATCCTCGACGAAGCGCTCTCGCTCATACAGGATGTCTCCCAAAAGAGCAATAACGTCGTCGAACTGGAACACCTCCTGGACCCGAAAAAATATCAGGCAAACTTACGAAGGAGTAATTCGTTCCAGGTTGCACACAAGGTTTAAAATTAGACTTTATAGTTACAAAAAAAGTATTTTATTTTTATACACACTAACCTATATATCTATTATTAAGATTATTATCGATTGTATTTTATAAATATCAATAAAGATATTTGGAGTTAAGATTGAAAACTTAAAAAAATTATTAGTCAACAATATAAAAGCGTCGCTGTAAAATAACGCCTGCGAACAAATTATTAAATTGCTTTCCGCTGCCTTTACTCGCTTGAAATAAGGACATCGCGGTTGTAACTCACCGTGTGTGCACTTCCTGCCGTGTGCACGGCTACCCTCAAGAATCTTGAGCGTCAAGCGCTCGCATGGAACAAAATTCCCCGCAAGAATTCTTTACTTTCTTTCACCTACTTCTAGCTATTCTTTACTTACAGACTCAACTCAACACGGGAATATAGCGCCTTTTAGTCCTGCAAGTACAGCAAGATTTTCTGGCAGAAGAAGAAGTTCAACAAGGATAACCACGAAAAATTATAACTAGAATATGTTAACGACAGCAAACGTGCACAAAGTGATAAAACTTGATAAAAGATAGTGTGCGGCCGATAGTATACCAACGAGGAAAGGAGGTACACTTTAAGGAGATGAAAAGATATGAGAATAGTTGGTTCAAGGGAAGAATCCTTGAAACACCGCAGTTCAAGGAGCCCGCTGTGGAAGGAAGAAAGAAGAAGACACTTTTCGGATTGTGTGCGCGAGGCACTTTGGTACTTTATCTTACAAAACTAATATCGTCCTGTTCACAAGTATTACGGTTATATAAGTTGTTCCAAAAATAAAAATTTGCGAAAATGTGCAATCTAGTAAGTTATGAATCATCATTAATATTGGTAGAAGATAGATGTCGCTAGTAATATTTTATTTACATAATAAAATTGAAGTTTTTTTTAATTTTTAAACCTTTGCATGATGCCACAAATTAAAAAACGAATATTAAATATTCAAAGTGCTGTAATTAACGATTGAGTAATTAATTCTCGCTTTATGAACTATTAATTAACATTCGTTTGAAGCGCGCTTTTCTACTCGTCGAGCAACTTGTTTAATTATGCATTTGCGTTTGAAGTAGAAGCGGCGATGTCGCAGTTGAAAGATTCTACACATTGTCATTAAAAACGAAACCAAAAAGTAAATTTGCTCATAAGTACTCTACAGCAAAACGCGTACAGCTAATTACTGAATTGGTACAGCTATTATATATTTCGGTTTTTAGTTTATTATGTACGTATTTTTGCTTTCTGCTCAACTGGAGCAAAGCACATCAAATTTCAAATTTGTACATTTTGCATTTTGATTGTTTTAGCAATTATCGCATAAAATCGAAAGTAATCAACGCGCAGTACAAAAATCAAAACTTTCAAAAACAAGCCGTATGATAATTTCTGTTGGTCTAATAATTTTAATGAACTTTTAATTAACGCATTTGATGAATTTGAATTTCATATTAAAAGTACATAAATATAAAATTGCTCCAACACAAGTTGTAAAAAGTATCATTTGCTTTTTTTATATTCACCAGCAAAATTGGAATTAAAGTGAAAGCAATTCCAGAACATAATATTCCCTACGTTTTCGCATTGACATTGGCTTTCAAATTTAAATTGTCAGCAATCTACGACGTAATCCCCGGCTGAAATTTTATTTATTCCGCGAATGGTGGAGGCGCCGCGTTTTATCTCATGAATTCGTCATTGTGGTTCGCGGTCGCAAAGGCGGCTGCTTCGCAATACGTGGCGGCGCACGGCGAAGATTCGTTTTGTTGATTTTCTAAATGGAAGAATCGTGTCGGAGGCGCGTCGCGCGAGCCTCTCGGTGCTCGTTTCTTCCGGGAGTTTTCCAGCCTCGCCTCTACCATCTAATAACAAGAATTGCTGCGTGCCACAACTCGACTTATACTTGCAGGAAATTATATACTGAGCAATCAAAAGTTTTTCTTTATTTTAAAAATTATGAAGATAAAAATGAGCGTGAACAGACTGTATATACTCGTAAATATATATGAATATTAAAACATGGAAGATCAAATATTTAGCCCCAAAATAAATTTTTATTCTAAACAAATTCTATACCTGTCAAATAAATCAAATAAATTATATGAATGCTGGTATTTTCCATATTTTGCATTTGAACAATCTGTATATAATATGTTCCCTTCCTCGGCCAAAACCAAACAAATCGTATCCCATTATGCGCGAAGGCACCAAGGGCATTTTTTCACCCTCAATCGCCCCGTGCCACCCAAGTACCTTTATAAATACTCTGGTTCCCTTCATGCCGATACCTGCCTCGCTCACACTTTTTCAATTTTGGCATATTTTTCCTCACTCTCTCCTTTTTTGTAATAGTATATGAGGTATAGCTTTCTTCACGAATATAAACGAATATATAAGACGCCCTTCAAAAAGCAAAAAATATGGAACACAAGAAGCACGAAAAGCAAGGAAAGCAAATTGTACGCAAATTAATTTTTCATCATTTTTCTCGGCGGGGCACAATTAATTGAATTAGGCGAGACATTCGAGACCGTTTCCACTTGCGCGTTTCCACTTTTTTGTTTTAAAGTGGCTTCTGTTAATCATTCCGCAGCGTAACGTCCACGTCGACGATGAAGAATTAGCAAAATATGAGCACTTAACCGTGGAGAACAAAGTGTAATTAATACTCGTTTGTCTTCGAAGAAATATAAAATTACACAGAAAAAAAATTAAAATAAAACCGACAAAAACAACTTGTTTTGATAATAGTATAGAATTTATAAATAGAATTCGCTTCAATGGGTTGGAATGGCATATTATCGGTTCAATAGAACAGAAAACAACGTTAACAAATAATTTTAGAATTAGTGCACAAATATGTTTACGGTAAACACGTGCATTTAGCGTAAACAAGGTCAGACGCTGTTAAAATTCCTTTCAATTAAAAACAAACCATTATTTCTGGATTCAAAAAATTCCGAGATCAAAATCGGGAGCAGCGTCTGAAATCTCCACGTTTTACCTCTTTGTTTTTACTAATGTCGTCGTACAACACAGCGAAAGCCACACAATAATAACGTTAACATCAACATCAACATGAACTGAACTCATGAAGTCGTTATTTCTGCTCAAAACTGCGTGAGAGAGCAGGCGAAATAAACTCATAGTCGTACTTTAGTCGTGCTTGTTCCTAGTCTCTAGTATACACAGTTAACGTTGTTATTTCCGCGGTTACGAGACGAAAACCGCACTGCTTTTCAAGTTTAAGTTAAAGTTGAAGTTTAGGTTTAACTTCACTCGTACATGTGGATGTACAAGCAGATGAAGACGAAAATAAAGTTGAACCAGAACTAAAGTTGAACTTCTCTTAAGGCTGAAAGTAAAACTTAGCGGCAGAATTAAAATGTAAATGCGTACTCGTGAAATATCAAAAGGAGATGTACCAGGGGTGTTGAAGTGTTAAAGAGGACGTGTTCGTGGCTACGATTTGTTGTTCAAGTCTTAAATGATGAGTTTACAACTTGTTTACAAGGATTTTACCAACATCCAACTTAAAATAATAATATTTCATTAAATATTACAATGTATTAACTGTTTCGATCTTTTTTTATACACTAACGCCATCTATTTGCAGAGTTTTGTAATACAAATATAATTAACCTCAATATCAAGCTCACTCTGTAAGTGTACATCATCATACTTTATAAACACAAATGTTAAATGTTTTCCACAACGCTGGCCTTTCCTCGTCTTCATCCGTGCCCTATCAGGATCTGTCAATTTACTGCTCCCAAAGGTGGGATTATCCTTAGATTACTAAACATCCATCTCACGCTGCTCAACCTACAGTCGAGTTCAAGTCCACGCTAGCCCTACTCGTCCTTCTTTTTCATATATTTACGTATCAAGCAAGGATGTGTTCAGGTCCACAATACTGCCATACGCGGTAGTATATCGTGAGCAAACATAAGTGTGTGTGTTCATATATATCCGGGCCGTATTTTAGACAAGACCAAGCACCTCATACAAAATTCTACCCTAGACGGTTTGTTTGCAATAGCAACCGAGACCCAGACCGAGACCTTGCTTAGTACCCGGCTAGCCTGGGCTTGTTTGGTCTGCGAGTGAATGCGAGGGACGCTTTTAGGACACGACCCGGCCGTAAAGCGATACTCTTATGACAACATTCAACTTGCACGCCGAGATTAACAACTATTAGAACATTAAGCGAGACTAAAAGGTCCTGTCCATCATTCGGGAAAACCTAAATATCAAAACAGGTATCAGTATCATGTCGTGCATTATCCACTCTGATGGATGGTTAAAATTAATCGCATAAAATTAAATTTTGGATTTTTTTTTTATTTTTTACAAAAGTAAAAGTACAACTAATCTCATCACGGTTTTATTTAAGTAAGAATCACGTAATTGTTGCCAAAGTATATGAATTATAGAATAATCTCTGGACGTGTTCATGGATAGAAAATATAATTGGTGTCTTTTTCTGTATTGTATTCTTCGTCTTGACGTGACTTGCAAAATTCCAACACCAACAAATCTAGGAGTATTGCATTTGTGAACGCGAAGTGTGTAACGCAATAATAAATGTGGTGTGAAATTACGCGCGAACTTTGTTGCCAACGTTGGGGCTTTGTGTTGTATAATTGCGTTGTCGCTTTCAACCACACGAAATCATTATCGAGTGAATTATTGCTGTTTTTTTCAATAAACTAGAAAAAATAATTGCGGTTGCTTCAAAAACAGCTACTACGCTACACGTTTAATAACAAAATGATTTATATTTCAGGGTAAATGTAGCTTGTACAATATTTACTAGTACTAGTTTGTAAAATAGTTGTGCATTAGTGAAATATTTTCACTTTATGGTTGCATTTTGTGGCAAACAACTAACTAAAATATTTCTAGTAAAAATATATTGATAATTATATTTTTAATTATTTTTTAATAACGTGGTTGGATCTACTTAAATGTTCTAACGGTATTTGTCTGTACATCTTAATTTTTGACATCGGATGTGTGAAAATTTCATCAAAACCCGTGCATTGTACCGCCGGGTCCCGTAATTGTGATTATGCTAATGGGTGCGTGCGAATCCGGCCAATTAAAACGTTTTCTTCTCCCGTTCGTAATCATTTTCGTTTGCTTTGCGTTTAACAAAGACACATTGTTTGCAAACTTAATTTATTTCGGTTTAATTGCTATGTAACCTCAAATTAAATTTAATTAAATTTCGGTGGATAACATCTCACTTTATATTAAAACAATTATTAATTTTACATCAAATAAATGTCGGTTATTTAATACCTGGTATCATGAAAACAAAGCTTACAAAAAGCCGTAATTCTCGCAGATTTATGTGAAAATGAATTTGTCATCAACAGAGTGAAATTTGCAGTTTAAAAATGATAATTTTTTAACATGTCAATTACGCAAATGTGTTGAATATTTGTTTTCAACAAAAAAAAAAACACATTATACAGTATAATTCCGTGTAAATGTGCACGAAATGTATTTTTTCGTTGGTTTCTATTGAGTTCATTTCTTATTTTTAGTGTTTTCGTGCTTTTAACATAGCTGCTTTTGGTTTTAGGCGTAACGCGTTGGCGTTTCGATTATTTCAACGTTTGTTCCATTTCGCTTTCGCACCTCTCACATTCTTTCATCGCGATTCAATTGTATCGCACTCGCGCGTGCATTGAATGGTGTTTGTTTGTAACGTGCCTAATGTTGAATGCGCCCATTAACGATATAAGTGTTGTTATTTTTGCGCGTCGGCTCGCAAACCCCGCGAATAGAATCAATTTAATGCTAAACTCAACGAGCCGACAATAGAAACACACACACAAAGGTCAATTTTGAATTGATTTACGCATCAGCACACGAAGAAAGGCGCTTTGAATGCCTATTAACTTAACACAGGTTATTTCAAGATTTTGTATTGACATTACTACGTCTTTCAAACACAATATGTCTTATACGAGTATATTACATCAAAGCATGCAATGCAATGCAATCGATTTAATCCCACTTTATTCGTTTAATTTAATATTTTGAAGGCGCACTTCAAAACTTGTTCGTAATATAGGTCATAACAAATTGACTTCATTAGATCAAAGTTGTTATGACTTAACTGAAGAATATTTCACATTTATACGCGTAAACAAAACGCAATTTGATTTTTAAAAATCTAGTTAACGTGTACATTCTCCAATCTTCGGAATCCAATCTATTACGCAATGCTATAAATATATTTTCACATTCGCACTAATGATAACAGTCTTCTTTCAGTCACAACACAACAGAATTGTGAGACAATTTTCGTAAGTCATATTTAACATATTTAAGAAGTTTATATTTTCGTGGCATTTATAAACTAGTGCAAATACTCATTAGTGCTTATTAGCATACAAGAGATTCTGACCTCAGTCGCACAAGTTCAGTATTCTCACTGATTAACCGTTACGTTTACGTCTGAGCGAACGCGAGACACTCCGAACGCTCGGAACTTCCTCTTCTAAGCCTCAACCTCAAACTTAAACAAACTCTTCATCGTGGTGTACGCCTAAGAAAACTATCTGAGTGTGTGAATCAGTCTTCATGCGGATGTTCTAATTGTCCCAAATTCTAGATTTTAAACTTTTTGCTACAATTTTGCGATGTTGCAATTTTTTCTTCAAAAGATTACCTCAATATGCGTTGCGAATAAAACTACATACCAATTTCATTTCTTATGATTACTTGATTACTTCTAATTGAACTTTCGACCTTTCCATTCGCAGACAAATTGCAGTTTTTTCCATCAATTACAACATAAAATAAACTTGTTTTCGTTGATGATTAATTTTAGTTGTGCTTCAATTGGGTTTTATTACATTCGGAAATTTATACTCTCTATATTTAGACAGACAATAGCAGACAGTTACAAACTATTCATGTCAAAAGTTTAAACTTTTATCATATTTACCATGTTTTCACATTTAGCTACACCCGACACATTACGATTGCAGCATTGCGCGTTATGTAATTATACAATTTCATCGTTTTTGTTAGCCGTACGCCTATCAGTTGCTGTTTAAACTTTCGGTACGTTTGCCATCTGTTCGCTTTGGCGATTTTACGCCTAGCACAACCGCGGTTGCTGTTTTTTATCGGCGTACTTGTGTGCATAAATTCAGCAAGTTTATAATGTGTCACTTTGCGGTTTGACTACAGGCACTGCCAGCGTACTGCAGGAACTTCGTCTACCTATATACATTCATTAAAACGCCAACGATCCAAACAAGCCAGCAAGCACCAGAATGTAGTCGGGGGAATACTGTGTGGAAATAAAATTATTCGCAGAGCAATGGATGTTTATGTACCATGACATTAAAGTTACATTTTTATCTGTCTCCAAGCATTACCAATTTCCTTTAAAACCAGTAATTGTTATTAAAATATTTTAAAACTTTGCAGTACATAATTGCGATGTTATTCAAATTTGTTGTTGAATGCACTTCGTTAAATCGTGAAAAACAAATTCTTTCTATGCATTCTTAAACATGGAATTTACTATGTACCTACTTAGTTTGTAACAATAACACTGTGAAACAATTTATTTCTACTTCCTTCGTGTATTTGATAGTTTTGCAAAATTTTATATTTGCAAATAAATTCAAAAATTATCTAAGAATAAAAATAGCGCCGAAAACTTTGCAAATTTAGAATTATTTAACTCGTTCAAGTTAAAAACTTATCAAGTTTATTTAAATTATTTAAACTGTTGTAACTAAACACGTATTCATGTGTTACCCTGTGTAATTATAATAAACAATTTTAAACCTTAATTAAAACACCGATAGAATTTCGAGCATGTGACCGAACCGATGTAAACAACGTGATTATGAAGTAAGTCATTACCGTGTGTGTCTTCACAACGACAAGACTAAACTTTTTTATTATTAATCGCTCTGTTAAGAAATTTTTTTTAAAAATGGCTAAGGATCCACCAGAAGCTGCGTCTGCTATAGATGTAATAATAGAAAGAATAGGAGGTTCTGGTGCATATCAAAAACGATTTACTTTCTTGTTCAATATGATTTTACCCGTTTTGGCAGCGATGCCCTACATGAACATGATCATCAGTCTTGTAAGTCCTGATCATTGGTGTCATGTACCAGGCCGAGAACATACAAATTACACGATGGATGAATGGAAAAATCTAACAATTCCCAGGTAAGACTAAATAAATATAAATTTATTTAAATCTTCATTTAAAAACTGAATATTACAGAGAAGTCAACTCGCAAGGACTCTTAACTTACGCCAAATGCAGCAGATATGCATTACCAACTCAAAATTGGAGCAGTACCTTAATATCTCTAGATTTAAAAGAAAATACAGTGAAATGTGATAATGGATGGGACTATGATCATACCTGGTATGATATGACAGCTCCCATTAAAAATAACTGGGTTTGCGATGATCAAATGGTACCTAGTAATGCTATAGCCATAGGATTTGTTGGTGAAGTTGTAGGAACTTTGATATTTGCTCAAATGGCTGATATTTGGGGAAGAAGACCAATTTTCTTCCTTGCTTTAATCGCAGTTGTTTCTGGTCGAGTGATATGTACATTCACCTCAACTTCGATGTATGCGTTTTTCGTTTTTAATTTTATTGGATCCCTCACTGGAGAAACTGTGATGCAAGGACCTTTGGTAATAGCAATGGAAATTTCTGATCCCAAAAATCGTGGATTAATTGGAATGCTGTTATTCTGCGGATGGAATATTGGTATGTCCATAATGCCACTTTTGATGTGGTGGTTACGTGATTGGGTCACATTCTTACTTGCAACAACATTACCTTGTGCAATATATTTATTTTCATGGCCGTAAGTATCTCAAAATTTATTTTTTTAATTAAAGTAATAAAAAAATTATTTAAATTTAAAGGTGGATTATTGAGTCTCCACGTTGGTTGGCATCAAAAGGAAAAATAAACCGATGCCTTAGGGAATTAAGAAAAATCGCAAAAAGCAACAAAACCTCAATGCCTCCCGATGCCGAAGCCAGATTAATCAAATTCTACGAACTTAATAGTAATGAAAAACATCACTCTATCCTGGGACTGATTTCCAGCCTTCGCTTAGCAAAAAACTGCTTTTTAATCTCGTGCATCTGGTCCATCATATTACAAATTTACATCTCGCTGGCGATCAATGTCGCCAACTTAGCAGGCAATCCATTTTTAAATTATTTGTACCAATCACTAGCGGAACTGCCTGCGTTTGTAATCGCAAAATATATCAGCGATCGTTTTGGAAGACGCTATACAAGTATTATAAGTTTTACTTTAACATTCCTGGGCTGTGTTACTATAGTTTTTATAATCAATGGTAAGAATCTTTTTTATTAAATGTAATCAATTAAGTTTTAAACTAAATTTTATTTACAGATCCAACAAATGCTGCGTTTGTAAGAGGTCTTTGTATATTCGTAAAGTTCGCTGTGATGATGGCGTACTACTCCGTACATCTGCAAGCCTTAGAAATCTATCCAACCTGCATACGACAAATTGGATTGTCATCCGGAGCGGTTCTTGGATGTACTTTAGGAACTCTAGCACCATACATCATTGCATTGGTACTGAAACTCCTAAATTTCAATTTAAGCGATATTTATTTTTATTTTATATTTATACAGGGTGCTACCGTGGACGCAACACTTCCATTTTTAATATTTACAGTCTGTGCGATTGTGGGAGCAGTAAGTACAGTGTTCCTGCCCGAAACCAAAGGTTATCAGTTACCAGAGACTCTAGCTGATGCGGCAATATTCGGAGCTGATCAAGATATTTGGGGGCGGTCATTTTTCACTCATGTGGATGATAGTGATAACGCAGAAGTTCCCTTTCAAACAATAACTGCTTAATTTATATAACCTACACCTATATATTTTTATATTTATCTTAATAAACATATTTTAACTCAAACAGAGCAAAAATGAACTCATCATAACCCCAGATTGAATTTTTTGTTTTATGGTATAATTATTTTCAGAGGTATAAATTAATTAGCACTTATTCACACCATGTACACATTTGCGAATATACAGTTAGCGCACTTGAGCAGATGAATAACTTCAACAAGATCTTTTTGCGAAATGAATTTCACTGTTCGAGTTCTGCCAGCGAGAACAATAGCCAATGCGGTCGACGTTATTATGCTCGTTCATTGCCTCGTTTCACCTCTTGGCCTCTTGATTAATTCACAAACAGATTTATTCAATTATTACCGCAATTATAGCGGCTAATTCACTAATTCATCTCTAAAACCCACCTGGGAATTATAAATGACGTGACCGGGCGCGCAAACCAAACAAAACAATTGAAATTAACTTTATAATGAGAATATTAATTATTTACTGGAATAAAAAAATTAAAAGAGCAGAAACTATTCGTAGAGGAATTTTAACGTCTATTTGAACATAAGTTTAGTGCGATGTACGCGTATCTACTTCAAGTTTAGTTCAATATAACTGTCCATGGATCAATTAACATCCTGACCAAGTTTCGTCATCGCTCACGGGCTCAAACTCATCACACATGAGAAGCAACACGAACAGACAACGCACACATTTCTCACCAATTACCTATTCTTCTACTTCATCAGTAAAACTAGTGTCTTGTATCATCTAACAGCAAATCAATTATTAAGTAAAAATAAAAACCTTTGCTTACATCCGCAAGAAATTAAATGAGTATTATTCAATTAATTTTTCTATATATGAATGAATTCAATTTTCTTTTCTGTATTTTTGTGTTGTTGAAGTTGTCAATTTGCGATTTGCAGCCATTTCTGCGCGAATGAATGGCGGTGAGTTATGGACAATTGTGTGTACGTGAATGCGTTTTTCAATATCGTAATCTCTTGTATGAGCCATGCGGTAGCAATGCCGTAACTTCCTTGTTCATTTTCTATTTTAAGAGGAATCCGCGCAGCAAGAAACAGCTTTCTCGTGGTTGAGGCGAGCCTCACCTCGACGTAAACCGGAGTTTTTGTTAGTCAATATATTGGAATTTTTCGTCCGCATCTTCTAGCATTTAAGATGAGAAATCATCATATCGTGGAATCATATTGCATCATTTGAAATAACCTGTCTGAGAGAAAATTAATAATGAATACGTAAAAGTGCATTTTATAAGAAAAAACTACATTTATAGCAATACTGAAAGTTGTAAGTTGTAGAAGCAAATTGTATTAGGCAGTATTAAGGTATTATCCAATAAAAACCAAGTCATTCAAGATCAATTAAATCAAACAAATTTGTAGTGACTGGTTAGTTAAAGTGAAAGATTAAACGTGTTTAAACGAATTGTTTAACATCTACTTTCTTATTGACATTAGCTTGTCTGAAAATAACCTTCCAACACCTTTCGTTTCTTGTAAGTAACAAAAAACACAAAAATTTTGCCTTGTTCAACTTCAATATAAATAATAGAACGAAACAAAACTCCATACAATATTTCGCAACATTAATTTTGTAAAACCTAACCACAAAATAGAACGTAATACCTACATAGTTAACAATATTCTGCATATAACAATAAAATAATGAAAGGTATTTCTTGTTGCTACTCTTGTTGTGGTTGTAGTGGGTTATTGATGATTTTTTTCTATTTAAGTTATGTATGCTCAGGTATGAAACACACCCATCAAGAGACAAACTCACATAAATTCATGCACGTTCTAATGTGAAAAGTTTATGAACGCCGATTGTTCACACCGACGTTCACACGTCACATGCGCACAGCATGCACATGCAATGCAATGATCTAACGATATGACTTAAGCCAGTTTCAACGTGGTCATGGGAGTGTAACTCAGTAGGAGACGACATGCAACCTGCACTTTGCTAACGCACGTAGTGAAATGATTTGTAATCAGGCGAGTGGTATGCAAGGAATTCGTACTTGAACGGCGATCGACCTAAGTTCGAGGAATCTAAGTAATTCAACTGGACTTCTAGGCATTCGCCGAGAAGAAACTATGTATAAAGTATTCATTAGTTAATTCATTGACATGGATTTGTAGTGATTAAAGTAATCAAACTAATCGAGGGAGTAAAGCAACGTTTGTATCAGAATATCATAATATCGGGATTATAATTTGCATAAATTAACGAGAAATATTAAAATATGCATTTAAAATTTTTCTATGGTTTGTTGCTTTATTTTATACGGAGATAAAACAACACATAGTTCACCAAACCGTAAAATGATACAATTTAGGAAACTATAAAATATGCTTCGTGAATTTTATGATGAACCTTGACTTTCAAGTCTTTAATGCCTCTTAAAACACGTAAGTCTTGATCCGTGTCGTTGAGTAACACCGCAACGACAAACAAATAATTATACTTTATGGAACAATTAAAAATCACTTTTCCACGCCTTAAACCGTCATCACAGTCGCATGAAACAAGATTCAGGCGGAAATGTTATTACATATTAAATGTTGTAGAATTTAGCCGGTTCTACTGCTACAGCCTCTACAGGAAAATGTAATGAACACGATTCACGATCAAAAAGCAAGAGTGCTTGGCCAAGCGGTCAAGCTACAATATTGCTTTTCTACTTTGTTCCGGCAAAAGTGCGTAACATTATCACTCTGGAGAAGAACCGGAGCATGCGAGCAACAAGTATCAGAAATAACGCGTTCAGCACACCGTGTAAAAAACAAAAGTGAGTATTTCCGTTCATTCTGTTGAGAATACAAAGAAAAGCGTTAAATAATTAAGTATCTTATTCGAAATCCAGCAAGATTTTCCTCATTTTATGTTTATATTTTACTGGTAAACATAAAGCATTAAACACACTGTATATTTAAAGAAACTTTGTGGAATATATTGGACTAACCCCAAAGTTATCAATAATGCAAAATGTAGATTGTAAAATTATTACAGGTAATTTTAATCTGAATATTTTATATTTTTCATAATAATACATTGCAAAAGCAATAATTTTGGAAATTAACTTTGCATCATTGTTACACAAAATGCATATTTGTAAATTTTAATTAAAATCGCGTAGTGCTTTACCCAAAAATAATGTGAACTAATTAATCATATTTATGGCCATAAAACACACATTCTTCTCGTATGCTGGAATTTATTTCCAACAAAACCTCAATAATTTCCATAAAATTAAACAGAAATGTTAGTGACATTTCCATCCGACGTCACAAAAATACACACATCATAAAATTGTAGAAAATATTCGCCAGTTCAGAACTAACAGAGTTTTTTTTTTATTACTATCTATAACGTAAAAGGAAAACTAACATCCGTCCAAAGATGGACAACTAATCATACTTATTCAGTCACTTTGCAGGTTATAATGTATTTACATTAATGTGTAATGTAATCAGCGTATGATACGTTATATAATTTTATTAATCACTCTTGCCCGCAAACATTCACACGCATTAACCGCTATGCTATTCGTTGAGTTTTATGTTTTCGCATATTACAATTTGCATTTAGCAGCTTTGCGTTCGATTCGTGATGTTTTTCCCTTGCTGATACATTGAATTGCGTACAGTTGTTTTGTTTAAACCTAGTTTAAAGCGAGAAACAAGAGTTCCTGCAGCTTTTAACATGCAATTGTGGATTATATCAATTTGCATGTGTTCCTGAGTGACATTTGCATTTTCCAATACTTTCTATGCTCGGGCAATTTTAATTACTAAACTTTAACCATTTCCGCATAGCGTTTTAATTCTATCATAGATTAATATCATTCACAGTCACTCGCTGCAAAAGTTATTTCATTTGTTTAAAAGTAAATAAATATTCCTAGTCGAAAAACGTCGATGGTAGAATTTCGTAAACATCAAAACAAATGCAATATAAAAAGTACGTTGATGGTGGTAAAATGTAGCGCAATAAAACAACGTGCAAAATAGATGAAAAACGAGGCGTGGATAAAGCGACGCCAGTGATGATGATGACGACGCCGAGGACTCGAGTGAATAAACAGTGCAAATGGCAAACAATGAGAGCACAAAAGGCGCAATTCCTCAATATAGCAATTGCGCTCGAACGCGCGCGCTCAAAGATAAGAAAATTCGCGCGAATAAAAATGGCATAAAAGAATGCTCTCGATGTCGATTCGTAAACGCGCATAAATTGTATACAAATGTGAAGATGATTCGAAAAAGAGAAAATATAAAATGTATGCATACAAATCATACAAGTTCAAGAACAATAAGAAACGACAATAAATTTAAAAAATAAAATGAAATGAATAAAAAAGTTTGATTAATATTATAAATAATAATAATCGTTTTATTCTGAATGAATGCTTAGAATATATTTTTTAATTTCACAATCGCATTATATTTAAAAGATCATATTTTTTTAAGAACAAAAACTTCAACTTCATTATTTGTAAGATGATATTAAACGTGCGAGATGTGCAACGATGAATAGAAACTGAGCCAAGTCGATGTCAACACTCGGATGATTGCAATATTTTTATGAAATAAAATAAACGCAAAAACATTGCAATGTTTGGAATAAATTTATAAAATGCAAAAACCTGATTAAGCAAAACAATAACCCGTAATAATGCCAACATTATGAAATAAAATAAATTAACTAGAACAAATATTACTTCTGCATAGTTTTGGGTCACTTTTTCTATATTATATTTTATTCTGAATCCAGTTTGCAAAATCTAGATTCAGATTTAAGATCGCCGCGCCGAAATTGCAAATTCCGTCGGTCGTTTGCGTTCCGTGCGCGTTCGAGTCTTGACTCACGAGATATTGAACAGATTGAACCGAGAAAAGGTCAACCGGCATTTCGCCTCCCATCCTCCTCGCACCAATTCCTACCGGCCGAGAATCGTGTGTTTCATTTCGCTTTTCAATCGACGGCATCTAGACACGTAACTTCTCCCACTTCCCACTGTGAGAGCTGACTTGACTTAGCATGCGAGGTAAGTACAAATACCTACTACCAATGCTGGTCGAGTATGTGTGTACATCCATACATAACTTATACATTGTACATACAAGACAAGAATTACATACAGCAAACAGTCGTGCATACCAAGTAACTTTACTGTACCCAAGGTACCCAAGAGAAGATTTTGAAGAAAATATTAATTTTTTGGGGTGCAGAATATTACCTGAATGAAAATGTGTGACATAAAGTAGTAGTAGTCTTGTAAAATTTGTGTTAAGCTTGAAAATCAAATTATTTACTACTTACCTATGTGTGTCCGGGAGTTTTGTTCTTCCTTTCCTTTTAGAAGGTGCGTTTGCTGTTAATCAGTTAATCTGGTTATCCGTTTACGCCTTGTTTTGCTATTCGCGCACTTTGTTTCACTCGCCAGTTGTTCACCCTTACTTCCTCAACGTGAAGGGCTTACGGCAATGCCCTTGAGTCCTCACAGTTCTTGCATTTTACCTGTTTAACAACATTAAGGTTGATAAAATCACAAAAATCACAATTCGCATGCGAGAAAATAAACACAACACACAACACAATATAAACAAACACTGCTTATCAATTTATTTCGTTCAACACAAACAAAAGGTCACCCCTACCACTATAAACGAAGAACACTTGAATTAAAAACCGTCTTTATATCAAGTCCGAACTAAAAACTAAAAACTGCCACACAATTCCGATGTTTTATTTAATCCAGGCGTTGTGTGTGGCTGCTTGAAAAACTAAAAATATTATATCAACGCGTGGTAATACCACGAGGCGTTGCGCTGACCGAACGACCGAACGCGATTGTGGAATGGAATGAAGTTAAAGTAGTGGCACGGCAACTACCGAGACCCGAGACACGACTCTTGAGTAAGAGCGTGAGCTGCGGAGAACTTGCTCAGCGAAGCGCAGTGCACAATGCGCACGCGGCGCGGCGAGGAAGAGGAACTCGCCATGGCGCAGCATCGCAGTACTTTGTACAAGACTTGAGGCATCATGAAACCACTCAAAGCACCCGAGGCAAGTGCGCATGCGCGCACCATTCAACTGCACAGCCTTTGAATAAATTGTGAATCGTGAACTTGGGTCAGAATCATTTCATTCGTGCAGTACGAGTAGAATGCAATTGCAGTGCGGTGTTGTTATAAAATAAGCTAAATTTAAATCTGGTTGTGTGAATAAAATGAGCGCAATTTAAATTGATTGATCCCGCATAGAAAGAAAATCAATATTTTAGAAAGTGTGTCAAAAATGATAAACATACGATTGGGGTCAATTGTAACGCAAAATTCTCAATACCACTAATGATTGCACCCTGTAATGATGAGTTATAATTGCAATTAATCATACTAATGCAGCATGAATAATCTACCTGCTCAAACTGGAAACCTACTCGAAACTACGCTTTGCAATAGACGTTTTAATCCCTAGACATTACAGATTCCTGTATGCATCTCAGATTATGATTACTTCTAAGTGCTAGGCTTTGCTAAATAATCATTTGTTTGTAAACCATATTCCTCAGTGCATATCATTAGAGTCTATTCCAAACTTTTTACACTTTTATACCGGTAATTTACGTTAAAGCTATGTAAATTTAAAGGTAACTCGACACAGATAGTTTGAAAAGTGGGAATATTGTTTGGAGTAGCAGGCTGAAGTTGAGAATATTGGCCGGGGTGGATTTCGAGGGTGGATATGGCTGCTAATGGAAGCCAGTGGAGGCGGCAAGCTGGCGCACACGGCTCGTCTTAATCGGTCATTATTAATGGGCGCCGGATTTAACGTAATAAATATCTAATCGCACCCAGCCGCACCGAATTCGGGCGAATCGGTAAAACTCACACCCGCGCACGCCCTAACTAGTTGGAGGTGGGTACAAATTGTTCTTCGGGCCACTCGAAAGCCGCTTACCCATCGCATACCATATGTAATACTTAGCGTTCATTAATTTATCTAATCGTATAAATATTCATACATTTAGAGTTAGGTACGTATAAATTTCACATGGCTCTTAAAGTTTTATTAAAATATGAAATAGTATTGAAATACAATGGTAGTACGAGAGGGTGACTATAAGCTAAGTAAAGTTAAAGTTAAGATGAAATAGTATATTAAGTAACAAGTGCGCCAAACGCCACTTTAACCATGTTAACAACGTTTAGTGAAGTGATATTTTTGATTATTTTTTCTACCTTTACTCTATTTCAACGTTGAAGTTTTTGTATTTTAAAACTTCGAACTTTGTTCGTACACTACTGGGAAAAGTAAGGTTATAAATACATGGAGGTTTGTGCACCCAGTCGAAATCACTTACGAACAGACGCGCCGCACCGACAAGAGCAGCAGCAAAGCATGATGAGAGTAGGTTTGATATGGCCTTGTACTGCATCGTAGGCAAAAGACCAGACGCAAGCTCCACTCCGTGACTAAAATACTTTTGTCACGACCTTGACTGTCCGTGATTAAAGTGCTACTTTTAGTGTCTTAAAATCGTGGAATAAGTGGCTTCTTAAACATGGAAGTACAAAAAAATAAATTTTTGTTTCTTTTTTAACCCGAGAGTTCTATTTTACTCTGATAGTTGGTTGGTTGTCGGTCAGGGATGGGTTTGAGGGTGGTTGTGGGTTGTGAAAAGTAAAACGTTTGCAACGCTGGTGCGGCGACGTCCTGCCAACGATGGCATCTTTATCAGCGTCAGCAGGAACTCATTAATTACGGAAACGATGTAACGCGACCATAATAAGTCTCCCGCGTCGCTTCAGACACCCCAAGTGTCTGGATTTTCTAAAGTGCAAAGAGTAGAGTGTAAAGTAAACGTTCCGAGGTCCTGTCAGTCTTGGTTGTCCTGCCAGCAAGCAGAAGATGCAAGTGGAAGATAACGTCTCGCCACTGCACCCTTAAATAACACAACGTTTTTTTTTATTTCTTCAATTATTTACTAATTAATATCAAATTTTAAGAAATATTTCAAACATCTGCAAGAGACACCTGTCATATGCAATGACGACCCTTACACCAGACACTATAATAGCTTTCATAAGCAAAAAAGTTGCAAGACTTGCAAAAATTTGCAAAAATTTGCTTTAGCAAAACTTTGTTTTTACTACTTTTCCGCCCCATCTCTCATTTTTTTCATCTTCAGCCCTCATGCATAATACATGTACCCCACTTTGTCCGCCATTTAACTTTTATCTCACTAGAATACATTTTAATAATTTGATTAAACCACGCAATATTTTTCTATATATAATTTACACTTTTTAGGTTATCGTCAACACAAGTCCGAGTAACAAATGATTTGTATTGCAGGTGTTTGCAGCACTTTTTTTACTCCTGCAGTCTGCAATGCAGTTGGCAGCATTTTCGTGTCGGCAAAAATGTTTCGCAAACGACGCGCAATTAATCTTCGGCCGCGTGCACCTCCGCGCGCAGCGGAGGGTGGACATGTCTTCCGGCCAGGCACAAAGGGGCGTAAAAATTTGCCTAATTGATAAATGACACTTTTACGACGCGTCGCATATTCGAGCTACGGGCACGAGCAGCTTGTTGCCTTAACTCCTAGTTTTAGCTAGCTAGTCTTAATTTCAGTCGGCGACGTTGGGACGAAACAAGGGCATGAACAGGACAAAGACTGAAAAACGTAGAAAACAATTTTTTCCTCATAATTTTTCTGTTATACGGCCGGAAACAGCAATGCTGTAATTATTTTACGACGTTGACGTTTTGTCCTCTTTTCGTCTTTTGTCCTTACTTTTAATTTTCTTTTGTTAGAGAAAACATGGCTGACGTTTAAAACATTTTTCTAATATTAAATATTTTTATAAAAGCGCAACAAAACAGATTTTTACGTAATAAAAGTTAATATTTCGTGTTTATGTGTCAACTTGCGGCGCAGTCACTAAGTAGGGGAAAGTAGCCATATTTGGACCATTTTTATATTTTTCGATTTATAGAGCCACATATAAACTGTCAATAAAAATTAAGTAGCGGAAAAGTAACTCACAAGGCTTACCAACAAAATGATATTTTTGATTTAAGTAAAAATTATATTTATACCCCTCAAATTTCAATTTAAAAAAATTGTGTTTTTGGTCCAAATTAAGAAACCGGTTTCCTAAATTGGACCGCGCGGTTTCCTAAATTGGACTATGCTTTTTTAACGGCAATTGACACAATAGTAAATTTTAGTTTTAGCAGAAACACAAGCACATTTTGTATAAACCAAAGTGCGGCATTTCATACACTGCATCATTTCGAAGATTTGTGCTCGTCCACAAGCTTTTCTAAGAGATCAAAAAAATGATATACGTTTTCCCTGTAAAAACCCGGTGCCTGTCTCCGGTCCAACTTGGGCAACTTGAAGAATTTTTATTTAATGATCAACGACAATCTTAATATAACATAACCTCTCCAAATTAATACTATAAATTATAGATAAATAAATAAGCTTTCTGATGATATAATTATAATCGTGAAATCTAACGTTTAAACAGCTTGACAGCTTATGCACTTACGTCGTTATAATAGATTTGATAATCAAGGATACAAAAAGTTGTTGTCACGACGAAAGCACGCGGCAAGTTTTAACCCAAATAGTTGCATCAATTGTTTATAAATACGAGTAAAACAAGGGGCCTGTCTATTTTTGCAAAAACATCAACAGTCCGCGGATATCGTGGTGGTCCAACTTAGGCGCTGGTCCAAATTATGCTACCTTCCCCTATGTCATTGCTTTAGGGCCAAGGGTATGTTTGCTTTGGAAGGGTTGACGCGGTTGACGCGTTTGTGCCCGGAATTACGGTGACGCTCCGGTTTTATGAAAAGGGTGCGAATAAGACTCGGCGCGTGCGGGTCGCGCGTAAAGGGGTGCTAATGGCATACCACCCTTGCAAACGCCATCCTCGGCAAGTCCATTTTCATTTCTGGCATCGGTGTGTTAACCAGCAGTGCATAAATTCAAATGTTATTGCAAGGATTAAACATTGAACTAAGTAAAACTTGATTTTAAATCTTCAACTTTTGAAAAACTAACAATAAAATTCCTAAACTTAAACTTTTTGATCAGCACTATTGTCATGGTGCATTCAAATTTCAATTAGTTTTGCTTGATGTTAAAAAAAACCCAAATCTTTTCGCGTGCAACTTTTTTTATTAAACAATTCCGAAAGTTTCGTTGGCCCAGACGAACACGTCGCAATCTTCGTTTCTTTTCTAGTCTCTGTAAGCTGGGAATCTTCGCCCGCTTAAAAGCAGAACCCCGGTTGCGGGTTCTTTTAAAGATTAATTTTCCATAATGGCATGCTACCTTCGGCGGCCGTAAAGAAGGCAAAGAAGTTTTCAGTTTGCGCGCCCGCGCGATTCTCAGTTCTTAGTTTTCAGTTCTTAGTTATGTGCCTTTCCTGCGCCATCGACGTGCTCGAAATCTAGCTCGTATAAAAGACTTAAAAACTTGCCGGGGTGCCACGAAAGAAACTTCACGCCAACGCAGAAGGCGAACCTTTTCAAACTCTCATCAGACGTCGTTACCTGCGGCATTGTCCTTCTTCAAAACTGAAATTCTATTTTAAACTTTGCTCGAAACGCTCAGACATAAAAATTTGTGCAGACGCCAACGAAAACAATCAGTTTTAAATTTTTAACCATAATTTTTGCTATTTTCTTAGGATTAAAGAAGGACTCTTGTAATGTGTCAATTATTTTGTGATAATATGACGCCTTGGCAGATGTTTTCGACATGTCTTCCGCTACTTTATATCCTTGTCACTTACCATCATCCCCGGGATTTTTGCGGCTTAACTCAAAGGGCAATTTGTATCATTCGCTGGTTTATGATTGTCTCGATTGTCACGCTTAGTCGTTTGCTTTTGTTTCCATCCACAGCTTGTAAAAATCAAGACGTCATCCATTCGAACGTTATCTCCG